GGCGCAGAGGCACCGGGAAGAAGGGCCATAGGGGTGAGGTGCCGAACGTGCTTCGGCGGTTGGCTCCAACCGAAGCCTTCCAGCCGCACCACCTAGACAGAGAGCAGACACGGGGCTGCGCCGACGCGCTGCCAGGGCGTTGGGTGCATCTTGTCAGAGGTTTGTCCTGAGGTAACTGGGTCTGCTTGATAAACACCTCGCGGCTTCTCTGATCAACGTGCCTTCGGGTTTCCGGTGCACACGAGCACAAGGTGAACTTTCGGTGGATATTTTCTGCTGCGGGCGGTTCTGCAATGCGTGCGTGAGTCACTTCACCCATCCCTGACGCCAGAGGAGCCGCTGACACAAGTCCCGTCACTCATGTGTGCACTCACACTCGCAGGACGTCACCGTCCCTCCCCGCTCCCGGGACCACCGGCACTGCCCTGTCCCTTGCTGGGAAACCCGCAGGGATCCCAGCAGCTGACTTCGGTCACAGCCAGCCCTCCCAGTGTGCGGTTGGAGCAAACAGCACTGGAAATCCAGCTCTCCGACTCCAGGATCGAGACATAATTTTTAAATAGCTCGTTTGATATCTTTGCTGGTTTATTTGTTTAATAAAACCACTTAGTTAGCCGGAGTCCCAGGCTCCTGGGACTTTCGTTTCTCTGCAGAGAAGATAAGAAAAGCACGTTTCCTTATCCAGTGAGTCATTTTTTCTGCTCTTTAATTATGCATTTGTGCTATTATCTAGTGTATTCAGCTCTTAGATGCGAACAGTTCAAGCTACTCACCAAGCTTTAACTTTTGCTGCTCTGAAAACGATGAACAGCTGTTACGAAGGGCAGGGGAGGCAAAGATGGGGGAGATGAAGAGGGGGACAGCTGACGCCCGGAGCCGGCTGGGCAGCCTGGGCCGCACTGGCGAGCAGGCGCACGTGCGAGCGCTGCTGGGGAAGTCAGCGGTGATTTTTCTCCGTGAGTAAGCGTTATCATGTGTGAATTCAACCATAATTTTCTTGGCCCAGGAGGAAGCGGACAAACTGGGAAAGGAGTGTGAAAGAGCTTGTAAAGGGGGATAAAGATGGCTTAGAAAATGGGAGGGAATAAGGTAAGAGCAACCGTGGCGATGAAGCTGCAACATCCTTCCATGTAGCAGGACCTGGGAGCATTTTACTTGCAGGAGGACATCACGGCTGCCATCCCCGGGCTTCCCACCATGCCTTCACAGCTTCGCGTTTTCACTCCAGGTACAGAAACGGGAGCCGTCAGCTCCTGAGCTCTACTGTAAACCTCGCCCTCCACATCAAAAGCAACATGTAGGTACCTCGGGCCGGGCTTTCCCTGGTGCGTATATTTGACTGGAGGGGTCACAGAGTTAATCTGTAAGCGTGGTACAGCAGATGCAAGGACCCACGTCCCCTCCCCTGTGTTAAGCCAAGCAGGGAGGGGAGGGAAAGGAGCAGGGTGACAGAGCTGCAGCGGGACCCACAGGAGTAGGGGCTGGGGGTCGCCGAGAGATGACTGATGTGGGGGCAGCCACGAGGGGGGGGGCGAGAGGGGGATGATGGAGGAGCATCCCCCTTTGGGAAAAGGAGACCAGCAGGTGGAAACACCCCAGGGCAAGAGGAACAGCAAAGCCTTTGGAGCAGGGAGCTGTTTCAGCGGCGGGTGTCCTGACAGAGCTCTGGCTGTGTTGTGGGGGTCCTCTGCCTGCGTGCGCAGCTCCAGCCCCACCAGTCCACAAGGCAAGATGTTTTCTGCCTGCTAGTCCCTACCATTATGCTTCTGCAAGCTGCCTTGCCAGGGACAGCGGGCCCTCTGTGTGCCCTCTCCACCCCAGGGGTCTCCGCTGTGGAGCTCAGACGTGGCCTGGAGTGAGCCAGAGCTTTTCTCCCGACCCCTCCGCCCTCCCTGCTGTGGCTTTCTGACCCCATGGAAATGCTCCTGGTGCACCCTGCCACTGGACACTCGCCCCTCCTGCTCCCCGTGCTTGCACCACAGCCCTGCTCCTCGCCCGGCCGCACACGAGGTGGTGAGCTGGGCGAGGTGGGATATGGAGAGATGTCCTCTCCCCACGGGACCCTGCGCAGGGGCGAGTGCAGCCTGCTCACCACAAACAGGGCGGCCAAGCTGGCCATGCAGCTCGTGGCTTCAGAGCTCAGGGCCGCACCGAGAGAGGGAAGTGCTTAGCGTGGCCCTGCTCACCCGGGGAGTTTGACTAGGACGGTGGGGGAACAACTGAGTCACGGGCACAGGAATGGCGGCGGGGCTCTCGCAGCTCCTCCTCGAAGCCCACAGCCCCCCAGCTTGGCATGGCCATCCGGGCAGGGTGCTCCCCGTGCTCACATGTGAGGGGCGAGGGAGCGAGCGGCTGGGCCACGCCGCTGGGGAG